AGTCAATCAATGGAATGCTGGAAAATCTACTGCTGATGAGACAGGATTGAGAGGAATGAGTGAACTTAAGTACTGACTGGACCAGGTGGTGGAGCTGTGGGATAATGAGCGGTGACAGGTGACATGAGTTGAGTGATTACTGAGTGTGCAGCATGACAGAGGAGCTGACAGAGAGCAGAGCTATGACACCTTCAAGTTTTTTTTTTTGTTTGTTTATATATATATATATATATATATATATATATATATATATATATATATATAATCACTACACAATATGCAAGCTATTTATCATTTTAGGCTGTATCTTTTTTCACAATTGTTAGTCTTTTTTTCTGTTTTTAATATCAGTTACTACAGCAAAGGACTCCGAAACAAGGCAGACAGACTGAAGAACAGGAATGATCAGCTTCATCCCTTTAAGTGAGTTTCTCCTTTATAAAGATTTTGCCCCGATATAATCTGCAGCGTTAAGCTGGTAGCATGCTGTTTAGATTTGTTGGCACAACTGTCCAAATGTTGCTCCAGTTTTTACGAACCCTGCATGCAAGACGCTGTAAAATCCTCATTGTTGACCAAAACATCGATGGCGTTTACCATCCCCGCAGGTTTCTGAAGAAGCACGCCATCTATAAATTTCATTAAATGTTTTAATTCCTGAGCGGAGTTTAAATGATGAAGCAGATGTTCGGCCGCGGTTCTGTTTTCATGTGTGCGTCTGGAAGTGATTGAGCTGCGTGGAAAAGTGAAATGATTCAACCCAAAGGGGGGAAAACAAAAACCGATCGAGTCCCTGTGATCAACTTGCACTCGGAAACGTTGGGAACACAACCGCACCGATGCAAAGCAGCTGTTCAACGTTGTCTGTTGTTTGTTAAAGCAGGAGGAGAATAAGTTCGAATGCCATCGCAAAGAAAAGTGGCCACAGAGAGAGCTGAACCCTCATGTGATGCCTTCTGGACGTCCACAGTAGTGCGGTTACTGTCACCTGAGATGGCCTGATGATGTTTGAATCATAATTTAGGAAATTCTGTCTTGTTTCTGTTCAACAGGGAGGCCGCCCACGAAATAGACGCGAAGGCCCAGTTGTTTAATGAGATCCGGCGGAGGAAGAAGGAAAGGAAGGAGAAGAAGCGCCAGAGGAAAGGAGACGACTGCAGCCTGCCGGGTCTCACTTGCTTCACCCACAACAACGACCACTGGCAGACCGCTCCCTTCTGGACACGTGTGTACCTCCAGTCCTGCAGCCCCTCCCGTCGCTGTGATCATGTCCTGGGGGTGACGTGTCCTTTTATCTTTTTGCAGTGGGTGCATTCTGCGCGTGCACCAGCTCCAACAACAACACCTACTGGTGCCTGAGAACCATCAACGAGACCCACAACACGCTCTTCTGCGAGTTTTCCACCGGTTTCCTCGAGTACTTTGATCTCAACAGTGACCCCTACCAGGTGGGTTTGAGTTGGGGATGACTCTCAGCTACTACCTTGTAAGGTAACGCCTGCAGTTTTGAATAATTTAGGCGAAAATAAAGTTTGTGATTGGTCGTATAAGTGTCCTTGAACTGCGTTGAAAGCCTTCCCAAACTCAATAAAGTAGTCCCTTGTTTATTGCGGATGCTTGGTTCCAAACCCCCCCGCAATAAGTGAAAATCCACAATGTAGTGTAAAACCCCCCAAAACTTTAAGGCTTTAGAAACCCTTCCCACACTCTTGCAATGTTCTAAACTCTTAAACCTACATAATTTTAACAATGTATATACAGTACTGTATATATGTAGCTACTAAATTTTACTTACCAGGCTCTGCAGAATATGAGCAGCTCTCGGTTCTGGTCCAACTCTGTTCCATTTCTGCAGGCTCGGCAGTGACAAAGTCTACAATTAATGTTAACTCTTAAATTTACTAATTTTAACAACATATGTACCGTAATTACACGTCGCACCGCCCTATAAGTCGCGTCAGTCCAAATATGTCTAATAAAGTGGAAAAATCCGTAAATGCGTTGCTTCTCCGTATAAGTCACATCTATTATGCGTTACGCTGATGCGTCGCATTTGTTATGCTTCACCGCTGACCACACGAAAATGTGGGCCGATGTGCCAAAATCGATTGGCTGCCAAATGGCGGTCGCAGGAACGTTTACGAGAGGACTTTAACAAGAATTTAACAAGATTAACACTTAAAAAGTATTTGTTTGCTCAAAATTACATCAAAGTTGTGTCTCAGTTGAACTTTTCCTTAATAAATGCACTTTGATGGTCAAATCAGCTGCATTTCAAATGCCGATACGCAAGAAACAAGAACACGCAGAGGGCGACTTGCAGCACATTTCTTTGAAATTTAACAAGATAAGCACCTAAAACAATTATTTGTTTGCTCAATATTATAGTAAAGTTGTGTCTCAGTTGAACTTTTATTTGATAAATGCACGTCAATGTTCAAATCAGCTGCATTTCGCCGGGGCAGCGAAATGAAGCTGATTTTGCTGCATACCAATTTATTTGTAGAGCACTTAAAACAGCAGCTAAGCCAACCAAAGTGCTGCACAATAGAAACAAACAAGCACAGCGGACAGGAAAACATAAAATAAAAATAGGCGAGCTGGACAACGGTGGTAGTCTTTGGCAAGCAGATTGGGTCATTGATAGCCACTTTTTCCTATTACAAGACACGACGACATGCTATACACTTGAGTGCCATCTAGTGGCTGAAAATGGTAGTGTTCAATATTTTCAGTCAGAGTGAAAGAAAACGGTCGTATCTCAGCCCAAAATCGATTTATAAATATGGGAAAAAATCCATAAATACATCACTTCGGAGTTTAAGTTGCAGGGTGTTCAAATTGTGCAAAAACCCGTGACTTGTAGGCCGAAAAATATGATATATGTATCTAAATTTTACTTACCAGCACTTCCCCTTTCTAAGCCCTTGTGGGCCAGCTACCAGCTCTCAAGATTCACTGATGGGTCTGGAGGTCTGGTTCTGCTCCAGTTCTGGTCCAGTTTGGTGGGTTTCGTGCGGCTCTCTACATCTGCTGGGCGCTGATTAAGAGCCAAAATTTTCCGATCAGTTCAAAACGTTCCCTCTAGTATTTCAGCAGAAGGAAAAGGGGCTTCTGGACGTGGCCCTGTGGCTTCTAGGAAATGTAGTCTTTGAGCGGAAATACAGTACAGGCTTATTGAGAGAAAACTACAAAATGGCAACGCCTACGTTTTTTTTTCCGTAAAATTTTTATGGTATAGTACTGTATCCAGTACTGCCCCAATCACACAAGTAATATTGACAGTCATCTGTCCTGTACAATAAAAAAAAAGTTAATGTGCGTTGACAAACTGCGATATAGAGTCCACGAATGTCGAACTGCGATGTAGCGAGGGACTACTGCATCATGAAACGATAAATTAAATGGTTTGTTTTTGTGCCACTGTGTTGACTTCCAGCTGAACAACGCGGTGTTTTCGGTGGATCAGGAGGTCCTGAACTCTCTTCACGCTCATCTCATGGAGATGAGGAGCTGCCAAGGCTCCAAGCAGTGCAACCCTCGTCCTAAAGGCTTGGAAACAGGTGAGGCCGGCCCTTCCTGTCAGGTTGTAACTGCGCGTACAGTCGGACAAATCGGCTGGTTGTAGCAGCTCGTTCCCCACCAGTAACTGAAACGGCTCCTGCTGACAGAATCGTGGTTTTCTGTGTATTGATATTAAATTTAAAGATGGATTTAAGAAGTTTCGCTCCTTTGCTGTGAGTCTGTTTCAGTTTGGATGGTGTGTGTTTGCACAGACCTGCATGCTGCATGTGTTTGGGAATGATCCACTCAGGAACGGATGCCTACGTTTCATGGAGGTCTTTATTTTTTATCCACTGAGATCGTGTCTGTTATTTAACATTTTGTCCACTAGAACACACCGTCTGGCCTCTCTTTCAGCCTGGATCTCCTCCGTCTTTCCTGATTTGTAAACGGTGACAGTCATGTGTAAAAAAAGATGTTTTACAGTTGTGAGACCTGGCCATGGCGCAGACCGTGTGGCTTGAACCGACTGCTCTGTTTATGACTTGAAGAATCGAAGCTTTCACGTCAATGATGATCTGTCTGAGTGGAGCACAGGAGCAGCCAAACTGCACTGAAAAGAACTTTTTGTTTTCCATAAAGACTTTCACCAAACCAAACGCCGGTTCTTTCAACCAGTAATGCTGCTGTTGTGGTTCCACTTAGCCATGTTGTTGTTGGCGAAAAACCCTTTTTATAACCTCATGCATTTGCTTTGAAAGGACCTGTTGAACTCGTCAAATCATTTGATTAAATCCTAAATCAGTTTTCTTGTTTTCATCTCCGAATGTCTTTCCTTTTTTTGTTTTTCGCCCCATCATTCCTCACGAGTTTCTCCGTAGCGAGTAGCAGCCGTGCATGAAGAACGCCGTCATCCCTCTGAGTCAAAGCATTAACAATCGATTGCTTTTATTTTTTCCGATCAGGAGGTAAAGATGGAGGAAGCTATGAGCCACACAGGTATCCGCCATGTTTTGTTTTCTTCCTCTTCAGCAGCTGTTTTATTTTCTTTAACACCTGCATGGGCCGAATTGCATCATTCCCACTAATCCATCCGTCCGTGGCGTGCTGACGCTTCATCTGTGGCTGCATGCTGGGAACGCGCTAACAAGTCGTAACAGGACTTTTATTTCCTCACCTTTGTGTTCGTCTCCACCTCACCACGAGTCTGCAGCCGTCTGAACACGCAATCAATTCTTCAGATGAGATGTAACGAAAATAAATCCCAGTTTGTATGAAGAGGCACTGCTTTAACACAAATACTCATTGTGCTTAAGAAGCGGTGCATGATTTACTTCTCATCCTTCTTGTTAACATAAAAGTCCAAAGCGGTGGTCCAGATCGTTTAAAATGGGGTTCTGTAAAAAAGTTTATGAAAAATGTACATTTTGTTTTAGTTCGCTTTTCAATTTGCCTGAGTTTAGAGAAAGTGTTTTTATTTTTGTGACGACCAAAGTGGATTACAGTAGTCCCTCGTTTATCGCGGGGGATCCGTACCCTGAAGTCCCGCGATAAGTGAAAAACTGCAAAGTAGAACTAATAGTACAAGTAGAA